GAAAATAAATGTATACAAATAGCTGAAAATGAAAAAAATAAATCAAAATTACTGCATATAGTGCAAAAAAATGACACGCACAAAACAAAATGTATACGGAAATTATTAAATTATTATAAAAATAAAAAAGTAAAAATAAAACAAACAAAAAGATTATCTTTTTTTTCTATTCAAAATTATTTTTAATTTGTCATACAACCATGTTAAGCAATGAGACAATAATTGTTTTTCTAAAGATCTGCGCAATGAACGTTCAATGATTCTCTGTAGGGACCAATGGGCCCCATGGGACCTCGAGGGCCAGTGGGAGAAAGAGTAAGAGATCTACCGCTTTTCTTTACTATCTGTTTGAATTGATGTTCTGAAGAGTTTCATACAGTCACTGGATATCAAGTTCAGAGCTTCATATTCAACAACATATCAGTATTGTTCAATGTTTTCAACTTTATTTATTTTTTGTTGTTGTAGGGTCTCCCTGGTTTCCCTGGACCTGCTGGACCCCCTGTGAGTATATATATATATCTCTTTTAGGACAACCGTTAAATGTTGAAACATTTAAAACTGTCGTTTTATCATCATATTATTGTTTTATTTTGTTTTCGATTGTGTTTACAAATGTTTACAAAAAAAATGAAGAAATTGAAATTTGGGCTAATTGTATATTTTATCTTTTTGTCTAGGGACCAGAGACTGTTGGGCCTCCAGTACGTAAAATAAAAACTGGTCTTACCATAATCCGTCTCACTCTCAGCCTATAATTTGACATTTACACATTTTAACTTTAATTTAACACTGCTTTCTACATTTAAACAGGGTCTTCCAGGGAAAGCTGGAACTCCAGGAGATGAAGGAAATATCGGGCCAGAGGTGCCACACAATACACTAACACACCTTGGGGCAGTTCACACTGAATGTGTTTTTCCTTTCCAATTAGCTACTTTTCTTTTGTTTAATTAATATACACACGCGCTTGATGGACGTGTGTGATCTTTAACTTTTACTAGCAGTGCAGCTCATTACATTAGCAAGTAATGTTATTTATATGTATGTTTATTCAGTTGTCCACAAAAGAAGATATTTTGAAGAATGTTGGTAAGTGATAACCATTGACATCCATAGTAGGAAAAACATGGTTACCGGTTTCCAACATTCTTCAAACATTTTGTTGTTGAAGGATTTTCTTTTTTGGTCTGAACTATCAATTTAACTGCTCAATTGCCTGATCAGAATTTTAGAAGACATTTTGCTGCACTTCATGTCTTAGTCTCAATATATATGTATATATATATACAGTTGAAGTCAGAATTATTAGCCCCCCTGAATTATTAGCGCCCCTGTTTATTTTTTTTTCCAATTTTTGTTCTGTTCTGGGAAGATTGTTTCAGCACATTTCTAAGCATAATTATTTTAAAAACTTATTTCTAATAACTGATTTATTTTATCTTTTCCATGATGACAATAAATACAATTTTACTAGATATTTTTCAAGACACTTCTATACAGCTTAAAGTGACATTTAAAGATTTTACTAGGTTAATAAGCTGAACTAGGCAGGTTAGGGTAATTAGTCAAGTTATTGTATAACGATTGTTTGTTCTGTAGACTATCGGAAAAAAAGCTTAAAGGGGCTAATAAATTTGTCCCAAAAATGGTTTTTAAAAAATTAATAACTGCTTTTATTCTCGCCAAAATAAAACAAATAAGACTTTTTCCAGAAGAAAAAATATTATCAGACATACTACTGTATGAAAATTGTATTGCTTTGTTAAAAATCATTTAGGAAATATTTAAAAAAGAAAATCAAAATCAAAAGGGGGTTTGTTCTGTAGATTATAGAGAAAAAATATAGATTAAAGGGGCTAATAATTTTATAAAAAATTCATAACTGCTTTTATTTAAGCCGAAATAAAACAAATAAGACTTTCTCCAGAAGAAAAAATGGTCCCACATTACATTAAGTGGCCTTAACTAATATGTACTTACACAGAAATTAATAGTTTGTTACAATGTACTTATTATGTAAATACATGTATTTACTGTGTACTTATGCTTGATTGAATACATGTATGTAGTTACATCTGTAATTAACTTTTGTAATTACATTTGTAAATACACTGTTGACCATCCCTTACACCTTAACCCACCCTTAAACCTAACGATACAACCAAACCTGTCCATAACCCAACCTCTATCCCAACTCAAAAGCACCACAAGTGTTCTCAAATACATTATAAACACAGTAAGTACATTGTATTTATTTTTTGACGTAAGTACATAGTAATAAAGGACACTTAATATAAAGTGGTACCGAAAAAATATTATCAGACAGACTGTAAAAATGTCCTTGCTCTGTTAAACATCATTTGGAAAATATTTAAAAAAAGAAGGAAAAAAAATCAAAGGGGGCTAATAATTCTGACTTCAACTGTATATATGTATGTGTGTGTGTGTATATATATATATATATATATATATATATGTGTGTGTGTGTGTGTGTATATACATATATATATATATATATATATATATATATATATATATATATATATATATATATATATATATATATATATATATATATATATATATATATATATATATATATATATATATATATATATATATATATATATATATATATATATATATATATATATATATATATATATATATATATATATATATATATATATATA